GTACCGGCCCGGCTGTCCACGGCGCCTGTGATGTCGCCCAGCCGAATTCCGCACCCCCGGAAGGTACTTCGCCACTTCTTGGGCGTGCCCACGTTGGCCACGATGGCCACAGCGTCGAGCTGGCCGAGGGCGCCCAGCCCGAGAGGGGCAGACTTGTCGACGGGCATCTTTGGAGTAGGTTCTCGTCGAGGTGGTATTTTGACTGGCCAACCTCTTGACTGGTTGTCTGACTAGCTGTCCAGGTGGTGGTTTGTGTATTGATGGGTTTGTTTGGTGGATTTGTTTGGTGGATTTGTTTGGTTTGAATGGAGAGCAGCTTTGGGCGATGTTGGAAGCGATGAGGATGGAAAGAATCTTTGCGAGCTCTGGTACGCAGATATTGGCCCATTTGGCCCTTTCTCCGGAAACCTCTACGTCGCCATCAAAGTTCAGAACCTCTGCGGTTGAGGGCCGCCTCCGACCATTGCGGCCGACCATTGCGGCCAACCATTACGGCCGACCTCTGCCGTCGACCTTTCCGGCCGGCGCCGCCGCCGAAGAGGGCAGCTTGCCCATCCCGAATTGAATGGCGGTTTTCGTATCGAAATCACTATATTGCGTTGAGCGCGTGCTTGGGATACATTGCGCGTATTGTGTAGTTAAAAAGTGTACTGTATCGTGTGATTTCCCTTGAAAGCGTGATCCCGTTAAGGTCGATCTTTTGTGCCTGTAAAGCCGGAAAAAAAACCACCACATAATAAATTTATTATAATATTAATAAATCCGTTTTTACGTTTTAATAACTCCTTAATAACCGTATATTAATATACTATAAATTTTTATAATAAGCTTAGGGGTTATTTTTCTAATTAAACTAATATTAATTTTTTTAATTATTATAAAAAGTTTTATAATTAATATAAGGCTTCTATCCTTCTCTTATTTAAAAATAACTTATATTTCTTTAGGGACCGTAACTTTATAATTAGGTTTTTTACTAAGAGCGTCTATTTTACTATTTTCTAAACCTTTTTAATAAATAATTTAGAAATTATACTTAAATAAGAATTCGCTCTATTTAACTTATTATTTATTTAGGTTCTTATTTATTATAAAGTTTATAAAATTCTTATAATTTATATAAACTATAACTTCGTATTTAGTTCTAAATAACTATAATCTTTATTTTTAAAATACTTTAATAATTACTATTAGTTCTTTATTATAAATTTATTAATTTAATTCTATTCTATAAAATATTTTAAAATAAAAATAATATAAATAAAGCTTCCCTTATTTATTTTATTATCCTAAAACCGCTCTTATAATAAAATCTAAAACGTTAGTCTTAATTTTAAAAAGTTTTTAAAAATTTAGGGTTATAATAATTAGTTTAAAAATAACTATATTCTTAACTTTAATAAATACTTCTTTATACTTAAGATCTTAAATAAATAAAGTCTCTTTTTATATTAAATTATTAAAAAGTCTAACTATATTAGTATAGTTTTTAAAAAATCGTTAATAAAAATTAATAAATCCTAAAAATCCTTATATATTTTTAACGTTTTATAATATAAGCTAGTCCTTAACTACTTCTACTTTTAATACTTATATATAAATTTATTTTAATATAATAATATATTTAAAAAAGTCTATTTTCTATATATAAAACTCGTACTTAGAAAGTTTAGTATATAGTTTAGTATTTTAAAATTTTTAAAATACTATATAAATATACTTCTTATATATTTTAAAATTAAAAAAAAAAAGAATATTATTAATATAAATAATAATAAAAATATTGATATACTCCTAAAGTACGTAATTAATTATTATTTAAAAAGTTATTAAAGCGTTAATAAGTCCGAAGGGCATAACGAGATACTTAAAAAATCCTCTATAAATTTAGAATATTATTTTCTATTCGTCTCCTTCTTTAATTTAAATTTAGTTAAATACTTTTTTAAAGTTTATAATAATAAATTAATTAGCTCTATAAAATAAATCTCTAAGCTTAGTAATAAATAATAAAAAATAATAATTCTTCTTTATAATTTCGTTAAGTCTCCTATAATTAATAATAAGGCTTAATTTTCTACCCTTTTTTAATATAAAAAATAAAAAGAATCTTATAAAAGAATTCGATAATTAAATATATCTTTTTTTAAGTTTTTTATTAATATATTCGTTAAAATACTATTATTCTTCTTAATTTATTAAGTATATTAAATAGAACCTAGGCTATATTCTTTTTTTAAATTCGATTTCTATATCCTAACTACTATATTTTAATAATTCTATTTCTTTAGGTTTTATAAATAGTTTCGTATATATTTAGTACTCCTTAAGTATAATCTAAAGTCGTTATAATCCTTAATTATTATTACTATATATAAACTTCTTAAAGCTTTTTATTATTTTAATAAAAACTATATATTATACTTATTCTCGTTCTTTAAAAGTTATTAAAAATCCGTTTAAACCCTTTTTTTTTTTAAATTATTTAGTAACTAGATTTTCTTAAAAAACCTAGCTAGTAATCTAATTTATTTATAAATTATACTTTTATAACTATAAAGTTCCTAGGATAATATTAATATCTCTAGTTTTTATAATATTATATTATAATTATTCTAGCTAATTATTAATATATATTAAGAAGTATATAGTTTTTTAATTAATATATTTATAATTATAATTAACTCGTTCTTTTTTTACTATTTATAATTAATATAAGTTATTTTTCTATATTTATAATAAATTAAGTTTATTTACTATTTTTAATAAAATATAAAATTTTTATACACCGCTATTAATAATAGTATTTAATCCTTATTTATAAATATCGAGGTTAATTTATAAATATACGTTATTACGTTATTTAATTATATATAAAAACTTTTTTTTTATTCTTACCTCTCGTTATTCCTTTATAATTAGCTTTCTTAATTTTTTAATATATACTTTTTTTATTAAATACTTTACTCGCATAGTTTTTATTATTCCCTCTATACCTTAGCTTTTTTAATATAATAAATTTAATATTAATTATATTTATAATCTTCTTATTCTATATATTCGCTATTAAAATACTTTATAAAAAAGTTAGGGTCTAGACTAAATATTATTTTATTATTATTATTAAAACTTAGTAATATCTAACTAAGTAGTTAGTTCTCTATATAAATATCCCTAATAAGTTTATTATTATATTTTTATAAATAAAAACGGCTATTTTATTTATATATAAAATATAAAAAGTATTTATTATCTAAGTATTCTATTTAAAATAATTCCTTATATAGTGGTTTTTTTTCTAGTTTTATAAGTATAAAAGATCGACCTTAATAGGATTACGCTTTTAAAAAAAATTATATAATATAGTATACTTTTTAATTATATAATATATATAATATATCTTAAATACGCGCTTAATATAATATAATAATTTTAATACGAAAACTACTATTTAATTTAGAATAAGTAAGCTACCCTCTTTATTTTATATAGCGGTACTAGTTAAAAAGGTTAATAACAAAGGTCGGCTATAATAATTAGCTATAATAATCAGTTATAATAATTAGCTATAATAGTTAGAAGCGGCCCTTAACCATAGAGGTTCTAAACTTTAATAATAATATAAAAGTTTTTAAAAAAAGGGCTAAATAGGCTAATATTTACTACTCTTTTATTATACTAAAGCTTATAAAAATTATTTCTATCCTTATTACTTCTAATATTACCTAAAGCTACTCTCTATTTAAACTAAATAAATTTACTAAATAAATTTACTAAATAAATTTATTAAATAAACTTATTAATATATAAACTACTACTTTAATAAAAACCTCTTAGTATATAGTTAGTAATTAGTAGGCTAAAAATACTTATTAATAAGTCTACCCCTCTCGGGCTAAGTACCCTCGGCTAGCTTAACGCTATAGCTATTATAATTAATATAAATACGCCCAAGAAGTAGCAAAGTACCTTTTAATAATACGGAATTTGGCTAGGTAATATTATAAGTACTATAAATAGCTAGGCTAGTATAAATACTAAGATCTAATATATCGATACTAACCTAGCTATAATAGCTATAATAAACGGGCTAAAAGTATATAGAGTTAAAATAATAAGCCGGCGCTTTAAATAGCTCCTATAGGACCCCCTAAGTAATAATAATACTTATATAAAAAAATAGATTATATTAAACCTAGCTACCTACGTAAGCTAGTATTAAGAGGTCCTATATACGTTAAAATAAGTAAAGCTCGCCCTATAAATAAACGATAGAAAGTTAAGAGCTATTTTAATTAGTAATTAAGTATAGAGCGCAATATACTTAGTTTTCCCTAATACGTAATATATAGTACGGCCCCGGCGGATTACTCTGTCGGGGGGAAATAATTCCTTATAAAAAGGGTCTTCGGGGTTAAATAAAAAATAATCTTTATTTATATAAGGGGTTATTATAACCTTTTTATATTCTTTAGTTTTATAAAACTAAATAATTTAATTATCTTTAAATAAATAAATATATTCGTATTATAATTTATTATTATTCTTTTTAAAAAATAATATTATTAACGCTAAGTAATATTTTATAATTAATTTCTATCTAAATACGTTATTAAATAACGTTATAAAGTTTATTTAAATTATAAAATAATTTTATTTTATTAAAATAAAAAGAGCTAATTCTTATTTTAATATTTTCTTTTTTAAAATTAAAATTAATTTTTCCTTCTTTTATAACTCCGAAGTTAAAAATTAGTTTCTTAAGTACTTCGATCTTATTTTCGTATATAAAGTCCTTAAGTTATTTTTTAATTTTATAAATAAATTTTTTATTACTATCTACTTTTTATATTATATAAATAAACTTAGTTAGGATTTTATCCGAATTAAGTTCTTTTTTAAACTTAATAAATTATTTTTAGTTTATATAATTTCGTTATATTATATAAACGAGACTACTTATAATTTTTTTTATATTAAGTCCTCTTTTTTTAAACTTAAAAAGTTACTCTTTTATACTAATTAAGAATTTTTACTTAGTTTGTTTTTTAAAAAAGTAAAGTATATCTTTTATAATAAAGTCTATTTTAACTTTTTTTTTTATATTTTTATAAATCTAAGAGAGTATAGTAATATATTTAATATTATTCTTTTAAGAAATATAGGGTTAATAAATAAGTATCTTTTTTTTTATTATTATTATTAAGGTTTTAACTAAAAATAGGGTAATATTATATCCTAATTATTTATTATCCTTAGGTTATTTTAAATACTATCTTATTTATTTTTTATTATTTTAATAAATAAGGTAGTTATTATCGTAATAAGCTATTTATAAGAATTATTTATAAGGGATTTCTTTATTTATAATATTAGCTCGCTTTTTTAAAATAGGTTAATATTAAATATACTTAGGTTATTAGTAGTTTCTAGCTATATATCCTAACTTATTGTAATTATAATACTTAAAATCCCTTTTTTATTATAATTCTTCGCGTTTAGTAATACTAAGATCTATAAGTCCTCTATACTATTTATAAGTAGTACTTTATTAATTATTATTTTAATTATTAAGGGGTTATTAATTTATTTAAAAACTACGCTAGGGTTATTATTAATACTTACGTTCTGAGTTAAGTTCTTATTTACGTTCCTTTTTTTCTTTTCTTTTTTTATAAAACTAGTTATTAAACTTAATAACGAGCTCGTTATACTAAAAAAAGTTATTAAGTTTATTAAATTAAATTAGTTCGTCTTTAATTTCGTCCTTTAGTCCTTAATGAAATATAAATATCTTAATATTATTTATAAAGTCTAGTTAAATACTAAGATATCTAAATTTAATAAAATATTCTTTTACTAACTTAGTTTATTATAACTATATAAAGTTATATTTAGCTTATTATTTCTTATTAAGATCTTAAAATAAGGATTTAAAAGCTTTTTTAAACCCGTTAAAGCTATAATAAATATTACGTACTTTAATAAAATATTCGTTAAACGTTTCCTTATTAAAATATTCTTCTTAGATTAGTTTAAACTATTTAAAAACTCGTCTCTTAAAAAAACTAGCGGCGTATATAACTTTTTTAGTTTTATTAATAAAATCCTTATAATAAAAGTTCTAATAATTCTTAACTTAGATTAGAAATCCCTTAAGGATTCTTAAGGTATTATTATAAATAACTAATATATTAAACTTAAGTTTTTATTATTCTCTTTAAAAAGGAATAATAATAATATTAATAACTCCTTAAAGTATATTAACTTATTAAGTTAAATATTCGGCCTTTTTAGTTTTAATTTCTAAGTAACTTATAGTTTCGTTAAGTATAGCCTATATCTAAGTAATATCTTTATCGTTTTTTTAAAGCATTTTTATATAATAATATAAATTTTTAAAATAAAATCAAGTTCTTTTTTAAAATTTTTAATATTTTTCTTTTTTTTATCTAAGTTTTTAAAAAAGGTAAGTCCCTTACCCTTAAAATTAGTTAAAAAAGTAAATAAAATTACTTTAAAAAACATCGTTCGTACTATTTAATTAATTTTTATAAAATAAACTTACTAAATAAAAATAATTAAAATATTATAACTAGCTAGTTATAATTAATATATAAATAAAAATTAAAGTTATAAGTACTAAATAAATAGTATTATAATTATAAATAGCTTCTTTAAAACTATATTTATAAGTTATAAAATAAATAAAGCTTTAGTAATTAATTATAATCTTATTAAAAAAAGTTTTTAATAAAAATAGCTAAAAGCGATTATAAAATTTAATACTAAGTTAATTACTAAAAAAGCTATAAAAAGTCTATTTTTAAACCTAGCTTAAGTTTATATTATATATAAGTTTCGTTCTTAAATATATTTTTTATAATATTCTTATTTATTATTATCTAACTATTTATTAAATAATCGTTTATCCTACTTATTTATAATTATCTATTTTATTTATTTACGAGTATCCGTTCTTTATTTTATTATATAATCGTAGTTATATAACTTATTTATAGTTTTTCTATTTTAAGAAGAGTTATTTTAAATCCGTACTTTTATATATATAGTATAATACCTACCACAGGTTCTATAGGGCAAGGCCTTAGCCTTATTATACGTATTAAGTCGTAATAACTAAGTTTTATAAATAGCTTTAAGTATTTATAAAGCTCTCTAGCTTTTTTAAAAGTTAACTAATTAATAACTAACGTTATAAAGGCCTAGTTAACGTCTTTTTTAATATTAATAATTAATTAACTAATAATTATAATCTAGTTTAATAATATAACTAAGCTAAGTAATACTATTGAATTAATTAGTAATTTACTTATATTAAGTAGCTATAGCTTAGTTACTTTTTAATTACTTTATATATTATCTCTTATTAAACTAACTAAACGAGTAATATTATAATAAGTTAAAAAAAAAGCGCTTTTTAATAATAACAGAATTATTTACTATTTTATATTTACTAAGCTCTTTTTTTATAAATAAACTTAATAAGACTAAATATTACTATATTTAGTAACTAGAGGATATAAAAAATATATAATAATAAGAATAATAAGTAAATATTATTAATATAGTACTCTTATATAAATTTAGTTATTATATAACTCCTATATCTATTTAGAACTAATAATCGAGGTTCTTTTTGCGGGTTAACCCCCCTCGTTATAGGGGTATTAGTTTAAGGTAAAAAAACCTTCTTTAATTAGTTAAGGGTAGTTTTATTAATAATTTAGCTATTATTTATTACTATAAACTCCTAATTATAGTATAGGTAAAGTTCAAAAAAGAACTATTATTACTATACTATTTTCCTTTTATATATAACTAGTAGTTTAATAGCTCTATTATTAATTAAAATACACTTAATAATAAAAACCTAAGTATATAATCTAGGCTCTTTTTTCCGTATTATTCTAGTTTTTATTATACTTAAAACTAAGCTATTAAATCCCTTACCCTTAAGGATACTAGTCTTATTTATATTATACTTATTAGCTTATTTAATATTTTTAATTTTTAATATATTAAATAATCGAAACTAGGGCCTAATAACTTTAATAATTACTTTATTAATACGTTTAAAATTAATAATACGACTTTTTTAAACCTTAATTAATAAGTTCTTTTTAAAAAAAGTATCTATTTATCTTTTATTAATAAAATTAATATCCCCCTAGGTATATAAAACTTATTTAATAAATTCCTTAACTTATTTATATATTAGTATAATATCTAAATTATATTAAATATAAACCTATTTAGCTAGCTTATTTTCTTATTAAAAAAGAAGTCTCTAAAGCTTAGTAAAAGCCCTTACTTAATTCTAATAGCCCTTTATATAATTACGAAGTATTAATTTTAAAATCCTATAGTTAATCGAGGCCTTATAAAATAAAAAACCGTTTTTAATAATATTAAGAGCCTAACTAATCTTATTTTTAATATATAAAATTATAATATATTAATAAATAATTATAAAAAAAAGAATTATATTTAGACGATTTTTATAATTATTATAATAGTTTATATATTATAAGTTAGATTATAATAAGGTAGTTAGGAAGAAATTGAGGGGGGGCCAAATGTAGGGGGGGGCCAAAAGGGGGTGGGGCGACTTACCAATTTCCCTATGGCTGTGGATCCAGTGAAGCTGATCTTGTCAATGCCGGGGTGACTTGTCAACCAAGGGCCAAGGTCGTCGTCTCCGCTCAGAGACTGAACCACACCCGGCGGAAAGAACTGTTGTGCTAGTTCAACTAACTTCAGCCCACAGTACGGTGTGAATGGTCTGCGAGTTTCTTAGCATCCATAGCATAAGTTCCCATTGTGCCAACATCCTTACGATGGCTTGACAATGATCACATTTCCAGTCAGGAGGGCCGGTGCGATTTTGCCCGTCGCGAGAAGCAAGGGAAAGTTCCAAGGAACAATAGCGCCGACTACACCCAGAGGAGCATAACGAGTGATAACGGTGCGGTGATCGGTGTCCTCTACAACATCCTCCGATAGTGGGATACCGGCCATGCCACGAATCCAGCTGATCGCAGCCTCTGTCTCGGCATCTGCTTGAGGTATCTAGGAAGTGTAAGCGTAGCTCGGCAATTTGATGCTACAAACATGACTGCGGCTTAGCATTCATACTGGCTTTCCTTGTTCAGAGATCAGCAAGTCTCTGAACTGGGTTCGGTGGCTATCCACAGCATCCGCATATGCCAAAACTGCCCTCTTTCGGTCTTCGTACGAAACTTTCGACCATGCTTTGAAAGCATCTTTTGCTGCAGCGACGACAAGATCAAGATCCTTGCGCGTAGCGATAGGGACCTCTGCTTTCGCAGTCAGGTTTGCTGGATTAATGCCATGACGATTCTTCTCTGTTGGAGAAGGTTTTCCGTCGATAATTTGGACAAAATGATCGTTGAAGCTCAATGCCTCAGAGCGGCCGGTCTTGGTAGTGGCGGACATGACGCGTTGCACTTACAGCTTGGAAATCACCGACTGTAGAAACACAATTTGTACCCCGCACAGATTGTTGAGGTTAAACTGACAGGCTCGTAATAAGTACAGATTGGTACGAGGGCATCACTCAACGGATATCTAAGACATTTCGGTAACTCAGCTGGCAGCACGAATACCCCGCATCTAGGGACACTGCAAAGACCGGACCGACCGCCGACACATCTAATATCATCTCCTTCTAGATCCTCGGCTGATACGAAAGCCTTCGGGGAGCTTCTGGCCCATATCATATGTCTCTCGGTCCGCGATGTTCTCGTACACCCGTACACCTACTTCACCCTCTTCTGTAAGTACATCACGAGACTCGGGAAGGTTATACTCAGCTCTAAGCTATTTCACTTGGTGACTTCAAATATTGAACTTTCTTAGCAACGTCTCTCCAGAAGGTCTATAGATGAAGAAACTGCTAACAAGGCTATATTTCGTCAAGGCTCTTTGACCAGTTGCAGCTTGCTGATTGGGTAGGAAATGCACAATGAGCTACAGTGTATCAGGAACTGTGTTTCTTTCATCGACATCGAGTACTGCTCGAGAGTTCTAGTAAGATGGAAAACGATTTCAAATCCTTGCGAAAGTCAACCCCGAAAGCTAGCCTCTTCGCACCGGATGATACGGGCCCAACGCTTTGCGGAAATTGAGCTTATAATCATTTCGCAACACTTCCCAAATAATCATCAATCTGAACATCAATCTTCTTTCAAGTCTTCCAAAGCACAAATATGGCATATCCAGATATGCTTGCCGTTCCTACAACAATGACTGGCCAAGCACTAGGGAACACAGGTGCGGTAACAAACAACAGCATTCCTCGGATCAGCCGTCCACGCCACGCAGAATGATACGGTGCTTCTGCCTCTTCTAGATTCTTCATGATACATTTCCCTTGAAGTCTCCTTTTCTGAGGTCCATCAGGCATGAAGCAAGTAAAGAGAACGGTATAGGTTTGTCTAGCAAACCACCAACAATTGTGGTGAAGGAATGTATAGTCGGATGCTGTTTGGTGGATTATTGAGAGTATGTTTGCCATTTCCGCCAACGTTGGAGGCAACGGACCAAGATCGACATCGTGTAAAGTCTCGTCGTCATGGTGAACCAGGCTTGACTTACAAGGTGCCGGTATGAACATCAACTTTGCTTCCTTGTCTGTTGCCTGCTTGCCCAAATGGCCCGTTCGTTCAAGTCTAACCCACGAAGTTTTTGCCTCTTCTTGACCTGTGATGCAGACCAACAGGTACTCGTGTTGCAAAGTGCTGTGCTCTCTGCTCCATATGACCCGGGTGACTAAACCAGGTGTCTGGTGGCTGATAATATGGCGAATGATGCCCAAGCCTTCTTGTCCCAAAATTCCTTCCATCTCCAGTCGCGTTTGTAGCACCGAGCCTGCGACAATAAAGAGTAAGAACTGCATTTGGAGTTTTGTGATTCACTGATCTAACCATTTTGCTTACCTGTAACTCCTTTGGGGGTCGTTGGACCTCGACTCTGTGATGCACCCATGATTTGCTTGGAAACTAGTTACTATCTCAGGCCAAGGTCGAAGAAGAGAACAGACAGGGCGATCATCAAAGGACAAGAAGCGAGTTGCAGGCAGTCGTTGCTAAGAATTTCTTTAGGATGTCTTGGAGATATGCACATTTATATTGCCACGGCCGACGCCTCTTTCGGTGGCACTGCCTCGTTTTGGCGTTTCTTCCTGAGTCGGACGCGGTGCAGTCCAGTAAGGCAACCGAGACTAGCACCTAGCTCAGCCAACAAAGCCAAAGATCGTCAGCTCGCGATGCGATAGCTTGTTGAGCTCGACATAAATAGTGGCCGTGTCTTGCGTGACATTTGCAGTCAGGTGTCATACTCTTACACTCTCCTACACCACATCATCTACCCACCTCCAGGTTTCTGCGCGCTTTGACTGCAAACTGGTTCAAGGCTGAGTCCTTTCTGTTGAGTGAAGATGGCTACGACATCAACGCCACGATCCCCAACCGGCGGCCAGGGACCATCAATTGTGTCGGGAGCCACAGGCACCAACCGGCAACCCCCGCATGCTAGTGCGTCACGGCCACATAATCCGCCATTTTCTGCGTATCTTCAGCTTGTCGCATTTACTGCCACTATCACGGTTTCCGTTTCCATCTCGGCTAGCCAAGGATTTGCTACGGGAGGAAACTTCTTCGGTGTTCCTCTAACCAATGAGACTGATCCACCCATAGCAGCTGCCGTTCAGGCTACGGCAGACGCTTCGTACTGGCTCTCGTGGGCAGCAGCTACATCCTCGGTCTCATTGATGATCGCACTCATTCTACAGTTGATGCAAACAGATGAGATGTTCCTCGATGCGCTAGAGAGGACAGAGGGGGGCCGCAGCCACGAACTACCAAGAGCAGTCGTGGGGGCTGGGAGTTGGGTTGCTCTCTTGTTACAAGCAAGCGCATTAGCGTTCATAGGGCAAGCCCTGAGGGCGATTAACAGCAACAGCGGGAGCATGATACAGGTAAATGCCACTCTTATTTGACTTCTGGTGCTGGTGCATTGTAATTCTAATCTCGATCCAGTGGGCACTACTTGCCGTGGGGACAACTTTCGTGACCTTTTACCTACACACCATCAAGTTCCAGGACACGGTTAGGGACTTATTCCGAGATACCTGACTTGAGTGAGTGGATATTCCTATGACTGAAGAGTTTTACTTTAGTTACAAGCGCTGATAGCGGAAGTGCTCTGATTATTGTAGAGTTCAATTGCGCGAAGGATAGAAGAATTTTGGCCGGTAGATATCATGCGATCTGGAAAGTTTAGTGCTTGAGCGTCGCTTCAAGTCCCCCGATGACTTAGTCTCGGTTGAATGTGTAAAGACCTCAAGACCTCCAGCATGGGGTTGAGCAAGATGAGCGCAAAAAAAAAAAAGGTTTTACTCTTTATACTTGAAATTTAAGGCGACAAACACCCCGTCTGTTCGGGTTCGTTCATGAATTATAGACTGTGACTATTGTTTTTTGTTTGACCGTGCATCCTGAAGGGCTAGAACATGCTTAGAAGGTAGCAACGGAAAAAGTGGTGACGTCTCACATGAAGCTTGATAGAGAGTACAAAGGTGAAATGATCTATACAGACCTACTTTGACAAGTGGTATGGATCGCTCCATGGCGATTAGTGTCAAGTTGTTACCCAACTACATGTGATATTCCCTTGGTGCCAAAGCAAACCATTCGAAACCTGTTCCCATAGGTTGCGATCATACTACCTCGGTAGTGCGTTGAGAGTCTGTACAACATCGCTTGGGCAACATGAACAGTCGGCTTAGAACCACTGGTGTGAGGTGTCATTGACTTGCTATAGAAGGAGGTGATGCCGCAATATCGAGCATGCATTCAATTCAACTTAGCATCTAGGGAAACGACAAACGTTGCCATCATCGACCCAGACCTTGAAGGTGCTCGCGGTATTGATACTTGATGGTTAGTCTACTATTCTATGGCACGAAAACACTGGCGAGGTTGAGCCACCCACTTCATGATCTCGTCCACTTTGTATCATAGTCAGAATTTGTGGCCAGACACCTTCTATACATCGCCACAATTGCAATATGTCTCTAGTAACTAGACCGATCTATCGATTTGTTTACGATACTTTGATGACAAGTAAGTCGCCGTTTCAGATTACAATTACGAAGCCTTGGCAAGAGCTTTGATATTAATTCGCGCGCAAAGAAAGACCCTCATTTCCACGATTCATGGAAAGACCACTATCATTGAGATGTGTTAATAAATCTTAACGCTAATGATCGCTGACTTTGATTAATACCAAGGCCATGCGAATTACAGCCATGAAGTGGCAACTATATTAGCACTCACTTCGTACTCAATATACAGCCAAGGCAAGTCAAAGTGCTCAATAAATAACAGAACCCGTCCAAGGCAGGCATGCGTCTAGTAGCAGAATGAAATGACTGACCACACTTTGACAATCATACTTCATCTAAGCGCTTATTAACAACTTCAAATAACTTGGCGACTACGATTGCCCCAGTCCTTAACAAGATCGTCGACGGGCCGAATATGGCAATGATCATATGATATGAATCTAACAGCTCTATCGATGCCATTCAACCTGTGGAAAAGCTACCTTCAAGCGTGGCGAAACATCCATTAAGAGTTTGCCTAATGCTATGCGACTTCCAGTCTTCAGCGTCGCATCGTAAGCAACTTAACTGCTGTGCTATCGTTCTCAGTCCTTGAAACCAGCTGTCACCCCGAAACTCTCCGAATATTGGTCGCCGCCATCCTAACTACCGAGGACTTTCCACTGTTAATACTGTCTGTAAGTCGCTATTACATCATGGTGTCATGCATGATCCCAATCACCGATACTATTTCAAGAGATTCATCATACGTTTATAAGGTTTAGAAGACCGGTGATATACCCTCCCAAACGCGTATGACGACCGTAACAAAACGTCAACCTGTTCCAAACGCCCATCAGTTTGCTTCTGTCGCACACGGCAACGGACAATCACTTGAACATATTCACCGTCTCACAAACTCTGTAGTCGCATAAACAGAAACCCTTTTGAGAAGTCCCAGAGTGGACAAGTCGCCGAACTGATTGTCAGCGGCGCGGTCTGAAACGCGAGCCTGCTGAGCAGTCCCCTCGCTTCAGCAGCCCGGCGCGGGGTGGAGATTTCTCTCCTCAACGGAGAGGAGCCTCCTTCGTCTTCGGATGATCAAGTTGCCATGTGGTCTCCCTACCAATGTGTCATCGGCAGACAAGCGACGGTCAGAAAGGCCAGGCCTTTTTCTTCCTCCGTCTGATGTTCGGCAAATAGCGAGAAAATTCGCCTTTAGGTTTATGTAGAGGCTTGGCTCTTAGACCGGGCGATGCCGAAAAGTAAAGCTATAGCAATACTATCTTGCCTCTGTTACAGTGATAAGTCTTCCTAAGCCATTATGCAGCAATACCATTGTCGCCCACGTCCCGATCGCTTCGCCGAACGTTGCATCGCATACCTGTACGTCTACTCAAGGGCAGAGATTAAGTCCATATGCGGGATGTCAACAGCACTCACTATGGCATGAGAGCAATTATTACTTCATTCTAGAGCAGTCCAGCATCGCACAATCACGAGTGATGATGTTACGGCAATTCGTGATCGTGTGCAGCGGTAGCTGATAAGACCCTGATATGCCGACTAGGACGTATCGGTCAATACAAGCAAAATTCCACCCATGTAATCAAGAGTTTGAGGGAATGTTCCTGGATGATCTCAATTTTCAACGGTGGCCCGGTGGGCGTCACAGTGGGGGGTTCGTGTGTCCTGGCCTGCAGCAATCAATACTCTCTAACCGCGTCAATCCGGTCTCGACGCCGAAGCACGTTTCTCACCTTCTTTTAATCGAATTCCCTCGTTCCAGACTATCTCTTGCTCATCCACCTCCCAGGTTCCTTGAAGTTCCATCTATTTACACCCCCAGCCGCTGTCTGAAGGTACGCATCACGAACCCTGACAGCCACGATGCCAGCTCTTAATACGACGAGATTATTGACCAGGGCCTAGACAGGGCTCCATCAGGGACAAGGGTGTTATTCTGAGTCCTGGCCTATTTTGGAGTGAGGGTCAGTGCGGGAAGGATGCAAGAAAAACGGCAGGCTATCCATCCCTCCACCGCTTCTGCTTCTTGATGGACCAAAACCGCGCGCCGCGCCCTCATCGGCCGCATTGACAGCTGGAGCTTGGATGGGTTTGCAGAAATGGAACCCCCGCGCGTCCACTTCAGCTGCTTGTGATGATGCCAGGTGCTGGCCGCCGCCCCGCATGGTCAAGCGAACGCAAGGGAGCTAGGCGGGAAAGAGGGGAAGCTCGTTGCTTTTCTTACTCCAAGGTGCCCTTCGCTTACGGTTTGACACCTGGTCAATATGAGACTAACGATTATTGAAAGGCCCGTCTGCGATGTGATGGAATGACGCTGTGATCCTCAGTCCGCATTCATATCTTGAGTCCGGGTAGGTCAGAAGAGAGGGGCAAGCAGGGTGCAAGCCGAGGGTCGTCTTCGTCGTCGGGAAATGCTACAAGTCAAGTTGAACTTGTGATCCTTGAGCGCACGGACACGGTGCAGATGGAGCAAGTCTGTCAGAGGCGGAGGAGAAGAGCAAAGATGTCTACTGTGTGCTGCGTGGGTTCGTGAAACGCGTCTGGTGGGATGAATGTGATATCGGACGCTGGCAACCAGGGGAGGCCCAAACGCAAGGAAGAAGAAATGACGCTCCATCAGATATGATGAACATGAACATGACCTTCACGTCACGTTTTCAATGCGTTTGTTTGTATTTCATCTCGATTACGTATATCGACTGGGTTGTGGCGTTGTCATTTTTGTCTTGGAAGATCGGGAAGATGGGCGGCGGTGCAGCCGGCGAGTGGGAGAAGCCGGAGCCTGCTCCGGACCCCAGCGCCACATCCGTTCCGGCACACCGAGTCCATTCCGAGTACAACCAAGAGCCTCCGGTGGGCGGAAGGCTGACTTTCGGAGCGTCCGCTTTGTGGCATCTCAAATCAGCAATGTTCTCGAAGAGGGGAAATTCAAAAAGTCAACTCAACTTTTTGCTTGACTTTTCCCGAGAGTTCAGATGCACACAGACCCATTGTCTCTTCTTGGTCCGGTTGATATCATGTAATTTAGCTCACCTTTTGGATCCATCACTTTCCTTTTCTCCACGTTTTCTAGACGCTCGCGAAACAATAGGTACCGCAGCAATCGCCGTTTACTACCGGCGTGTTCCGGAGTGTAACCACGCATCCTGTTCTACTTCGCTCTGGACTAGAGGCAAGATAGCAGAAACGCACTGTGGTCATCCCAGCCTGAGATGTGATGTGCCCAGTTTCGCATGAACGTCTTCCCAGAAGCCCACGCATCGGACAAAAAGAAGGAAGAAAACGTGGATTCAGCGGGGATGGTCCTGTCCTCGCAAGTTTCTCCAGCCGGCGTTGGTGTGAAGGAGCTTTGATCTCGTCGAGCGATCTCAACAGCTTGTCCTCATCGCTGCCTACAGGGAGAGCCCCGAGACAATTGTCAGCGATACCCCCTGCCCACAAGCACCTCGATATCTGCATCGCTCTCCCCACCACTGCATATGCAACTCCATCACGCCCACGCAACACCCTACCTGTTCCCATGTTTCCAGCTTTTTCATAGTCCTTCATTCCGGATTCTCGATTCCCTTGCTCTTGGACCCGGCTCCAATTCCACAATCGCCAAGCATCGCGATGACGAATTCTATAAGGATACGTTAAAACGGGCGCAAGGCTCCACATCAAAGCTTTCAGGGCTTATTGACAACCGGTAACCGGACAGATCTTCTGGCCCGCCTTCATGGCAGGGCAGAGGGGTAAGACTGAGCGCAGACTACACAGTAGAGATCGCCAACCCAAGCTTTCCAAGGAACCCGTTATCATGACCCGTCCGAGTGTGCCGAAGTTTTCGCTGATTTCACGCATATCACGCAAGCAACCTCAACATGGACAGGCCTACCTCTATCCCCCATCCATTTCAGCGCTCATCGGGGTCCAGAACAGGGGTGAAAAAGAACCCGTCTAAAACAAACCGACCGACCGTAACCGTATCATGCTTAATATCACCTGAAAAGGTGATGAAGA